CAAATAAAATGATTTGTTAAAATTAATAATAATAATAAATAAATAACCCCCCAAAGTCTCAGTAGTTTATAAAAACAAAGGTTCATATCTCAGGCTGACCAAGCAAATTCCCAACCTCTCCCTGGAACATTACTAGTTGTAAGAGCATACGGGCCATACCAGACATGCCCCAGCTCTTCACGTTTCTGCCTGAAAACAGCACATGGCATATACCGTCCTCATTCACTGGATGCAGAAAGTCACATGGCCAAGCTTAACTTCAATGGAATGGAAATGTAGAATCGGCCTCTGGAAGGGAAAATAGATGGAGGGCAACATAGTCTCTCACATTGTCTCACAAGAAACCAAGCTGCTGGAAGATTGGGCATTTGCTATTCAGATGTGTGCGAACCATCTGAGGAAGTTAATTAGAAGGAAATTGAGACTTGGACACCTTTAATCCTTTGCCCCAGGGCACACAGCTAATGCATTGTGAAATAAAATGTCAGTGTGGCCCTTTTTTCACTCAATCTCAGCCGCTGAACAATTGCCTTCTGGGTTTCTCAAGTACCAAGGAGCCGATGAGAAGGCCTTCCTCTCTGAGTCCCCTTCTCTGCCAGCTACCAACGGCCTTCCTCTCCTCTGAGTCCGCTTCTCTGCCAGCTACCAACGGCCTTCCTCTCCTCTAAGTCCGCTTCTCTGCCAGCTACCAACGGCCTTCCTCTCCTCTGAGCCCTCTTCTCTGCCAAACAGCTTCTCTGTCCAGCCTACCCTCAGTTCTACCAACTCATAAGCCAACCTCCATTGTGTTCTCTCAAATTTGTGTTGGAGTCAGGGTTTGAGATTTCTTCCCATAGTTTCTTCTCCTCTATAATCCAGTAACTTTCTTCCCTAGGTTTTGATTATTTCTGACTTTCTTATTGTCACCTTCTCATATTCATTTCTAGATGGAGTCTAGTTTCTCTACTGACAGCTGTTAAAACATTACCGACAAGTGTGCCCTCCATCTCTGATTCCACTACCTTAATATATTATTGGAAATCTCTCAGTTAGTTGCATGACTCATCATACTAAACAATAAATATACCCACGAGTACCTAGACCTAACAACCTGGTAGGCACTTTGGATTTCTGAAAAGAGATCTTGCCGCCAATGAACCGGAAGCATTGCTGAGGATAAAACAGTAAGTGTTCACACACCCCTCCCCAAAGACACTTAACTACGATGGTGCCAGACTGAACGGTGTGCTGAATTTGACCTTATTCTAAAAATGAATTTGAGAAGACTTTCAAATCTATAGCCATTGCAGTAAGTTTAAGGTTTTAAATTAGAATAATGAAGAAAAGGGAAGATCGGGTAGGACTACTACTATGCAAATTATGCTCATTTATATCACATGCAAGTAAAATTTTGCTGAAGATCATCCACCAACAGTTGCAGCAGTTCATGGAAAGGAAACTTCCAGAGGGTCAGGACAGATTCAAAAGAAGGCATATAAGATGGATCTTGGCTCAAAGCAGAGAATACCAGAAAAATGTGTACTCGTGTCTTATTGACTATGCCAAGGCATTGGAATGTGTAGATCATAACAAGCTATGG